CCTGCTGACTCCAACCTGCTCGACTGGGTCCTTAATGCCTGCCAGAGGCCCCTTTGGCAATGTGCTACTGAGAAAGGCAGGGAGGAAAAGGCTGCCATCACAAGCCGAATTCACATGGATTAGTCTGGCAGCAAATATATTTCTACAACCTACCTATCTCAAATGGGAGATGTCACTGACATGCATGTCCTAGAAGAAAAAAATAATTATAAAGATACACAATTACCTTTTTCTATCCGTACTTTATTGCAGGTGTACATATAATTATTTATATTTTAAACAAGAAATTCCTTTCATGGAAAGGAGAAACTTTTACCATTAAAATAGAGTGATTATACCACGAGTATTTTACAAATATATACAAATATTGGCAGCTAGTTTCTAACATCAGCTGATAAATGCTTACACATTACCCTCTACCAAACTAATCAAAATCAAAAATAGCAAGAGACCTTCTAAATACAAAGGCGAACAAAAATAAATCTATTACTAGCAGGAACAGTTTGTTTTTTTCATATGAATACAAAAACTTGCATAATAGATATTCACAGTGCTTGTAAGATATTAATTCATTCTCAGTCTACACACACAAGTGTCCAGTCTCCCCTTCATATGCATATGTAATTTACAGTACTGGCGGGAGCTGCGCAGACCGCTGAGAAAGATGGTCAGACCTGGAGAGTTTGCCTTCCCCACCAGCCATGAATAAATAGAAGAAACCCCCACGTACATACAAGGCAGTGGATGCTCATGCAAGAGCCAATGACACCGTTTTTCAGGCAGTGGTGTATTTTGTAACCAGCGACAGCAGGATTGCAGCGTTTCACCAAATCCATTGAATGCCTGGTAACTGCAAAAAATACCAAGCTGCTTGGTGGCAATACACACTTCAGAAAGGTGGTTAGGCTGAAGCAGGTACAAATGTGATTGTCTTTGAGACAAGGATGCACGTATGTGAGCACATGGAGTATGCATGTGCTTTATGACACCTTTCCAAACAACTATACTCACTGAATTTTGAGCTTTATTCCTGTTAACAACCATTACCAGAACTACAAGTATGTCTGCACATGTGGGAGAGCAACAGTTTAGCAGGACTGTCGCTCCAGACCCCTCCACCTTTTCCATGGGCAGACAGGCATTGCTGCAGTAAGAGCCATCCCTCCAGCTCCACGGCAGCTGCAAGAACAAGGCTGCTCCCTGCGGCCATGGGCCTCCTGGATCCTCACCCTGCCAGTCTCCCACAGCTTATGGCCAAACAGGCCCCAGGTAACAGGGAGCGACCAACAGCACGAAGCTTGACGGGACTGTTCATAAGCAGCCAGATGTCTTTTACCCATTTAGATCCATTTAGGAGAGTTTATTTTGGATGCAGTAAACATACCTCAAGTACTCTGTAAAGGCTTTGCTCAGAAGAAGGGAAAAGAGGTTATGGTGAACACACAGCTCCTAATTGTTCATTACTTAAAGAATGAAGAGTGTGATCAACGAGGGCATGGTCAATTAAGTTGTGGCTACAGTGAGCTTGTGCCCATCATTCATTCTGCACACACAGAGCTAGGGTTTGGTGCTGGATTCATCTCAGAGGTGTACAGCCACTGAGGTCACTTCAGTAAATGCGGATGCACCAGGATGCTCTGTCCCGACACCACACTTGCATAGAAATGGTGAGATGACAGAGTTCATGGGTTTGCTATTTTAACAGTTCACGGGAATGCAATTTACCAGACAACTGCTAAGGCTGCAAGCACACCATGAAAGCAGCAACTCAAACCCTCCTCATCGTGGTCTGGCTTCCTCCTGTTCCTGAATTCAGCTACCGTCAGCTTTTGAGCTATCACCACTGCACAACACACTTACTCAACCAGCAGAATAGCATTGGTCTGCTTCTAGAGTTTGCCAAAAAATGATTAGCTTCCACCTGCAAAGCTGTCAAAAGCTGGGCACAGGTTACATGTGCCTGTAAGTACACGCTTCCCAAATGCTGGGAATCGATGAGGGGAGGATGTACTGGGGCAAGACAGGGAAAGAAATCAAACAAACTTACATTTATTTGGATTTAACAAGGTAGCAGGATGTTTTCCACATCTAATGCTTTTCCTAATGAGTGTCAGCACAGCCAGCTCCACCACTCAAAATCACCAAACAAGTACCCTTGGTTTGGCACACAAACACCCTACGCTTTCACCATCACCGGCCCTGGAGCACCACACGCTCGCATTTGCATGACCTATCCATGACTAATTTGGACACAGTCACTCTGTCTGTCCTTTCAAAGTGACTTTCTCCAGTCATACTTCTCTCCTAAGCAGGGGAAAAATTTCTAAGGAACATACTTACATTAAAAACAAAGAACAACATAAAAGTATGATTCAAAGTAAGGGGTGATCATGCCTGGACAAATTCTCCAGTCACACTCCTGTCTTCAAGAGCCAGACAATTAACACTCTTAACTTTGTCTTCTGTACTCTCAGAAGCAGCCGAGTCATTTCTTTATCCCTTCCCCCATCTCCCCAAGGATATAAGCATTTATTTACCAATCTGCATCATGGCAGTAGAGACAGAGCTAAGAGACAGTTCCATTTGTTGCATTAAAGGAGAAAAAAAAAAAAAGAGAAAAGAAGAAGAATGCACATTGTAATTGGCTGGATGCTTACAACAAAACAAAACAGAAAAAAAAAAAAAAGAGAAATAAACTCCTGGCAGAGCAGGTCTTGCCCCCAGTAAAGCAAATAGGCAACTTGTGTTCATTACAACAGGAACAGGCTAGACACTTCCATACACAGCCCTCCAGATGTGCTCAGAGTATATCCTGGCCTGACAGCTGTTGGCAGTGTTGCAGCAGCACAAACTCAAGGCAACCAAACTATCTGTACACTAGCATTAACACAAATGGACCGCAAGAGAAAGGCAGGAAGATGAACTGACATAGACTTTAAATTTCTTTCTGATAAATCCATTTAGACACAATGTTCACTTTGCTAGCTCAGCGTCAGTTTTGGTCCACTGGTTTTGGGTTTTATGTTGGTTGTGTCACAGCTACTGGTGCAGGCCACTTCCATTTTCTGCTCAAACACTTCAAACGCCAACGTTAAGTGCTGCACTCCACTTGATTTGCCCTGTAGCCAGGTCTGCAAAAGTGATGTCACTTACTGATTATAGAGCTGAATAACAAAGCTGCTCACAATCTCCTGCAAGAACCAGAGTGACATCACATGTGTTAATGAGGTATATATTTCCATGATGAGCTGTTTCCTGGTATGGAAGAGCTCCAATCTCATTACACCACAAACTCCTCCGGGAGCTGGTCCTCTCCCAGAAGATCCAAGGAGAGGCAGTTCATGGATCGCTTCCCATAAAGGGCAGACTTGGTTTTGCAGTCCGCTGTGGAATAAACGCAGCCATAGATAGACAGCTTATCCTCCAGGCTGCAGCCAAACGTGTAGCTGTGGGATGTGTCTGAAGACAGCGTAGCACTTAGTGGTGGGTGCCGGTGCTTGTAAAGGCGGATGTCATCCAAACTCTGGCTGTGCTGGTCTGTGCAGCTCCTGCTTTTGGGTGATCTGACCTGCCAGTTCAGTAAGACACACACGAATAAAAACGATGAGCTCAGATACAGCCTAAGGATGCAGGCCATGCATGCTACAAGTTTTCCAAAATTGTTCTTCCACACCTTCAAAACAGCCCCACCAGCCTTCTGAAGGACTTTGGCTTAATTAAGCAGCTGTGAACCATTAAGAAATTACAAGTGCATTAAGCTGCCCTGCCATGTTGAACCAGATCCTGATCTCTCTGCACTGTGTTTGCAGTGCTCAGTAAGATGGACGAAACACTTGACAGGTATGGACACCTGAATGACCTGACACTTCTTGGCAGATCTGCGCAGTCATCCTCAAACGGACAAAGCGCAGGTAACAAAAAATTACCGCAACTGCTTGAAGTCTCACGAGGCTGGTTGTTCAGAAGGCAACCATGCAAATTAACAGGTTATGGTGTCCAAAATTCACTAAGTGCAACATACAGTTTCATCTACATAGCATTGTTCAGCAATGAAGAAAACAGGAGCAACAAACCAGCAGTAATTCCCAGAGGCAGCATCTTGCTACATGAGCTGCAGTGACTCAGTCTCCGTGGAGGAATTTGGCCATTCAAGACATTTCCAATTTCCCCACCTGATTCTTCTTACTCTGTCTCTTCATAATCAGCTTTTAAATGATAATATTAAGGCTAATTTCAGGAATATCACTTTTAAACCAAAATACTTCTGTTGGCAACACAGAAAACTTCCCCCCAGTATCACTTCTCTCACCTCCACAGGACTGGAATTAAAAAACTACCCTGAGGAAATCCTGCGCTGGCTCAGCTGCACTCCCAGAAAGAGGCACACGCTGCACGGTCTGGTCAATGCTGAGGAAACCCAGTTCTGCAGTGTTTAGTTACATGGCCTTGTAAGGAAGGTTTTGGTTTTTTGGGTTTGGTGTGTTGTTTTTTTTTTTTATTTTTTTTTATTTAGGATGCACCAAACAGTTGATGCACAGAAGTAGCAGCCAGCTCTTTGCAATTGCTTAGACAGTACTGTGTTGATCAGAAACATTCTTGTAAAACAGATGCCTCCTGATCAAGTAATAGCATAAGCATGTGTTGGTAAAAGCATTAACGTTAAAATCATTACTTTAAGGAAGATACCCACTCCCTGCCTTGCACTCTTAAGTCATTCCACTCAAATACAGGAATAAGTTCTTTATGATTTGTACTGCACGGTCTTCAGCTTTGGAAAAAATAACCAAGATTTTATTTAAATCTCCTATAGCACTTTACAGACTATTTTGCTAAGTGAAAATTTCTTAACACTTTCGCCTGGGTCCAGGAAGAAGCATGAAAAGAGAAAAAAAGTCCTAAAAAGTGACTGAAGGCCTTGTTCAGGACAGTTCAGGAAGTAAAGGGGAAAACAATGAACAGGTTTTTAAAATTCTTTTAGCAGATAAAGCTAATTTGGATTCAGAGAGAGAAGAAATGGTAGAGGTTTAGTGGTTTGTTGTTTTTTTTTTTTAAAAAAAAAAAGAAACACACAACTTTTCTACCCCAGTGGGTACAGCTATACTTTGAAAAGAAATATTGCTTAGCCTTAAAAAGACATTTTAATAAGCTTTTTCCAAGCACAGCTTATGATATGACATATTTTACCATATATAGTTGCCTTTTCTCAAGGGTTTGAAGAAAAGAAAAACGTCGACAACAAAGACTTCAGCACACACATAGTATAATCACACAAATGATAGTAATTAGAGCTTGAGCATCTGGTTTTGCTCTGATGTAAGCTCCTTCTGGCTTCAGGAGCAGGAAGATGATCAAGTTTGCAACCCACATCCAAACTGCATGGATGGTCTTGGCTCTATATTGCACTGAAAATTTGCAAGTGGTTTATTTTCCATTTCCCGTCTGGAAGCCTAAGGCAGACGATAGCTGGCTTGCAAGATCTCCATGCAGACTGCTCCAAACCTCTCTATGCTTCTCTGGACCCAAACACTGTTCTCATCCTATTCCTGATAGCAGTAGCTGGCCAACTGCTGGTTTCGGTTACACTGTTTAAAATTGTCCGAATCCAGACCCATCAAGTTCACCTGATTTACAGCTGTCTCCATCACACTAGACCTTGGTTCAACGCCCACACAAAGACCCTCCTGCCAAGCGCCCCGCTTTACCTGATGAAGGGATTCCACACTTTGACCTCTCATTTTTATTAGCGTGACTTGCACCACAGACAGCGATTCCCGATTTATAGCTGCAAAAGAGAAGAAGGAAGTGAAAAGTGTTGCAGGTTTGAGGTTTTGTGGGCTGGGGAAAAGGGAAGTTGTTCTCACAGGCCACATTCAAGCCGTGGTATTCTATAAATATAAATATACATCACTAAGCTCAATGCTTTAGGAGTTTTGCTCACAAGTACTACTTTTTGCCTCTAAGGATCAATGTTTAAAAAGTCTCAAGAAAATACCTTCTCACCAACTTGCCCCACCTTCACCCATCTTGCTTTGCTATAAAAGCTGTATATCTTAAGGCCAGACAGCTCCTGCATGACCCCATTGTCTAGCATTCCCTCTATCACAAACCACAAAACTTTACCTATTAATTCCTGCGACTAGCCCATTAATCTGTGGTTGAAGCCCTTGGCTGTTTTGTGGTGTACAAGACTTTAAAGCAAATTCCTTCACTATAATAGGTTTACCTCAGTTATCTTTTTGTCATTAACTGAATATAAACTTGGCAAATTTGGAGAAGGGAGACCTTGAGGAGCACAGAGGAGAGCAGTACTGTACGATATAGGGTGCTGGCCTTTAACCTGTAAATGATGTAACTTCAAATCCTGCCACAGTAGGACAGTAAGTAGCACTGGCAGTTGTTTGGAAGAAGATACAGCTTTCTTAGTTCCCTCAGATGACACCTGGCTTGCCAAACACATCTTCCTGTTTCTAGAGCCTAAAGAAAAGCACTGAGCAGTAGCAGAAAGCCATCTCACCTTGGCAGCTAGCAGCATCTAGAGGAAGAGATTCAACAGATTCTCCCACAGTGGCCTCCTCTAACTGGTCTCCCTCTAAGGGCTCATCTACAGGCACCTCCTCTGGCTCATCTACTGCCAGCTCAAGCTCTAGGAGGAAGAGAGCGGCAGGAAAAGGGTTAGCATTACACTTCTGCTCCAAGCTGCTTCACATTCTCTTACTCCCCATTCTCCTGCAGGAGAAGGCAAGAGCAGGCTTAGAAGTTGCTCCGCGTCTCTGAATTCTTTACCATCGTCCTGGGAGTCGTCTTCAGCCCGCCCTTTGCTGCCACTGTCAATGCCAGAGCTGCCGTAGCTGATGGTCGAGCTGCAGGATTTCTCTTTCCTATGCACCCGGTCAATGCTGAAGGGCTCATCCACTGACATTTCCACTGACACCCGGTGCCTGGAGTCAGCCTCGATGCCTGACGTGTGAGAGCTGCCATGACTCCCCGTGGACTGGCGTGAGAGACGGTTATCCTTCCGGCTGCCCCCGCTGCTCCCACTGCCACGCGAGTTCTTATCACACGGGTCCAGGTCCATGTCTAGTGTGTCACTGATATAGGATTCCCGGTAGCGCTTCTTCTCTGGGGAAGAAAGATGAGAGAAACCAGTGGGAACTTTAAGCAAGACTAAAGGAAGGGTAGCAAAAATAGTCAGTAAGTTCTGGGACTGGCACAAACTGACAATTAAGAAACAACTGCTGCGGCTACTGAACAAATACAGGGACAGTTTGGTATTTTGTTTGCTCAACAGATACTGGGATGCCCAGCTGGTTGTAAAAGAATGAGTCAGTCATACTTGCAGTAAATCCAGCATCTCCTGAATTAGAACAGGCATCTCGAGGCAGTTATACAGAAATTAGTAGCTTCCAGAATGAAGGAAAGGTCAAAAAAAAGAAGTTACTTAGCTAATCCAAGTGGTCAGTCTTTAAAAAAAAATATATATATATTGATTGTTTCTTGAAACAGTCACCAACATGTGGAGACAGCCAAGAACAGGATCCCCATTTATAAGTTATTAAATAATTATGTCTCCTATGGTTGGTATCTATTACCTAAAGAGAGATGTGCTGAGGGTAGTCAAAAAAATCCATGAGACACTAATAGACACAAAACAACCTATGGTGTTTTGCCCATATGCACTTGATTAGTGAGCCTTTCTACAGGTGACTGGCATATGCTACTGGTTGCACCCACAAAGCTCAAGGCCACTTCTATAACCCCACTGAAGGGAAAGACAGAAATAGCCAAACCGATGAGACCAAGGGCTGCCTTGCCCTGTACACCGATTCCACACAACCAGCAATCACCACTTCAGAGATGGTTATTAGCTTCTTAGAGTTAGTTGAGATGGGCAACAACAAACTCAAGGAAGCAAGTTTCTTCCTGGCTTCTCCCTGGAAGCAGTCAGTATGTGTCCTCAGACAAGAAGCCGAACTACTGCTGATCTTGAAGATAACAATACAAGGCTTACAAACCCCAGAGAAAACACCAAGTGTGAATGGAGAATGCAGGAAACAGCAGTCAGGAAAGAAGTAGGGGAAAAAAGCATTCAGAAGAAGGCTAGAGGGAAGGGGACATAATCTTCTGAAAGAAGACCTATGTAATGCATTAAAAACAGTCACCGGGGAGAGGCAGGCTGAGAAATTGTAGGAGACACAGCTTGCAGAGCTGGAAAATGGAAGGGGGCAAGCTGAGAGGTGACAAAATGACTGAAGCTTGCTTGGAAGGATAGCAGGGACTGCCAGACTTCACATCACTGTTCCTACGGAAAGGGGACTCCATCAGAAAATTCAAATTCTGGGAGTTCTGATCTGCTCTCAGGCTCTTTCTGGCACCTGGAACTCCTAGCTCTTAACTGTTAGACGCTAAAGACTAAATTTTGTGTAGTGTTTAGTAAAGGGCACTAAAAAATTAAGACACAGGCTCACAACTCGTACAGCTCATACTGAACACATGATCTTATCCCAATGGAAAGCTTTTTATTCAAAATTACTTCCACTCAGAAGCACGTGTCAAATGTGCACAAGTTGGGAGCACAGAGTGCAAGGATCTCCTCTTAAAGGGAGCCATTCCCCCTTTACTGCTCTCACACACACTTTCTGATCACAGCCTAGCAACATGGGAGGCATAAACACTTCCCAGTAATGGACTTGAAACACATCTAACACCTCTATGTCTCTCACTGGCTTCCTGATAAGGCAGAAACACCATTAATTAGACAGAGAGCAGCCACCATGAAGCAACAGCAGAGCCTAACATGCTGTATTCTTCCTCTTACCAAGGTCACCTGCTTTTCCTTCACTTACCTTCAGCCTCCTCCAGTTTTTGGATTTGCTTCAACACTGGCTGGATATTCAGAAAGAGCCGGTGGCTGTTGCTGAGGAGCTGCAGCAAGTGCCGTGACCTGAAGGGGCAACCCGTGTAGTAAACCAATTTCCGTGCAGAGGGCAAACCATCCGGCTGGATCTCAAACTTTTTCCCCTGCATAAAGAGGAGAAACATCAGTGAAATGAGCAAGAGCATGGTTTCAGCCACACAGCTACCAGAGATAGCTGCAGTCTTGCACATACGAGTGATGGGACTTGACACAGCAGTGCGGGCAGGCTGACAGCTTTGCCAGGTCCCAGGTTGACAGCCCGCTGCCAGATGGCCTCCATTCCATCATACTCACCAGAAACGCCAGCTTCCCGATGTGCGACCAGGGAAAGTCGTAGAGGAGCTGGCGAACGTGATTCACCTCCTGCAACACATCAAACTCAGAGTGACACAGGGACTGGCAGGTACAGGGTGGAGTCAGTGATGTGCAAAGAATTTGCAAACAACCAAGAATTTGAGAAATGCGGAGCCTGGCGCTCGCAGGGGAGCTGCACTGGGAAGGGGGAGGACAGGAGAGCTGGGCAGTTAATGCTACACCAGAAGGCTTTCACAGCAGTCTGTTACCTGATAGATGTGCATTCCTCTCAGGGTCAGGCCCAGGATAACCGTGGGGCGATCTTCCTTCTTATCCTAAAAGAACAGAAGAGCCCGGAGTCAAAGGTTAATCTACAAAGACCATGCTCTTGTTCTGGCACCTACTGCAGCAGAGGTAGCAGGACTGCTCATCAGGCAGATGCCATCAGCTCATTTGGTTTTTATTGTGTTTGTAAAGTGCACCTTGCCTTGTTGACCCCTGAAATATCTACACCTAAAATCCCCCTATGCTGGGCGTCTCAAGCATTTCACCAGCAAACACGCTAGCTGCCCTGGACGAGGAATCCTGTAGCTTTAGTGATTTGAAGACACGGACAGTTATTGCTCTCAGAGGTACCTTGTCACATCTCATACTGCCACGCGCTGACTCTGCTGTCCCTACTTGCTTTCCAGGTGACAGACAACCCAAAACAGAAGGGACACCAGTCCCCTTCTCCTTACCACAGCACTGCTGTTCCCATACAGCGACTTGCTGGACCTTAGGTGTCCCTTGGCCAGGAAGGAGCTAATCAATACCCAGAGTTACATGGACTTTCCTTCTAACCTTTTGATCTCAGTGTTGAGACCAGGTGGTTTTAAATGCTTGTCGCTGCCTTTTTTTTTCCTGATGCTGTATCTTGGTATGACATACTCAGCCTCTAATGAGATTCCTTTGCTTGAAGACCAAAAAAATATCATAAACTAGTTCTTTCAGTCTCTCCTGGCATGGCAGAGGTAGGGAGGGGAACACATACTTTTCTTGCTAGGAGGAAGAAATTTTGGGGGTAAAAATTCATGGGCTCACAGAGCTCAAAGTTTACATCAAAACTTTCTCTCCTCATCTGGCTGGTCAAGAAGCAAGCCTTATGCCGTCATATTACCCCACCCTTTGCCCCATGTCTCCCAACTCACTAAGAAACGCTTTCTGCCTCTTAAGGGGAAAGAGCTTTGTAAATCAGTATTGGTCTGGAGGAGAGATATGGGGGCTCAGGGCGGTGTTTTCGTTCGGCGCTCCCAACCTCAGTAGCTGCCATGAGGAGGGTGTAACATAAAAGTCACTGTTTTCAAAAATCTCAGGGCAGCCAGCGCACTGACACTTTCACCTGGCACCCCTGTGTGCTCCATCAAGAGCTTTGTGACACAGATGTCACCTAGGAGGAAGATATCTCATCACGAGATGAGATAACTGTGTCACGTGGCAGAAGAAGAGCACATTGTGGATCAAACACCACATGAAAGAGTTAGCAATGCATAAAATATAAGTTCAAGTCAGACAGGAATTTGGGTATTAAGAGCAATCAACTTCACAGCCCTGGTGCTTTCGGATATAAATTGTATCATGTCCTGCCAGCTGGATTTCTTACAGCATTCAAGTGTAATCAACCCTCTTATGACTGCATCATTAACAGCATTAGATTCAAAACAGAGAGGACAGAAGAGAGGTAGGGGAAGCGTCTATGGTTTACAATGAACTGAAACTAAGCCTGGACTACAGACCAAACTGGAACTTATTTCCTCCAGAAAATGAATGTTTCTCCAGTAACTATTGCTGCTAGATCTGGTCAAAGGACACAGATACCTCCCAGATATAATTCCCACTAAGCACAAAGTCTGACAAAGTGGAGTATCTCCATTTGGAAAACAAGGTCCAAGCCATTCCTAATTTCATGAGAAGGTTTCACTCACCTAAGCGAAACAGAAAACTTCTCTTTAGTCCTATTTCTAGACCTAAACTCTCTGTTTAAGCAGGCTTGGGTAAGGAGCCTAAGACTCAGAGACAAGCAACAATACAGGAATCCAAAAAACTGACATACAGCTGAAAAAACCACCAACCACTCTGACAGGATCAGAGGGGGAGAGGGGTAAGAAAGTCAGGATGACTCAGTGTCACCTTCAGTTATTACGCGGCATTTCTGTGAAGCTGGCCGACCTCCTGTGACCATTTCAACAGACTGCAACAACAACAAAAAAAAAAAAGGCTTCTCAGTGATTTCCCTGGTGTGAGTCTACTGACAAGCAGGGACAAAAATTAAGTTTTGCCATTCCTGTGGCCAGTTTCTTGGCTGCGGAACAAAACTAGATTCCAGTTATACCTGTATATTGGCAACAGATTTGTTTGCGGGGACAAACCTCATTGGCTGAACATTTTAGACTTGTTTGGGCTCTCTGAATCGGAGGCAACTGTCCCTCAAATAAACAGAAAGTGAAAAATGCAACGGTGCACCCAATTAATGATGGGAGAGAAGTTAAAAATAAAAAGCTCTTTGTTTAACCTTCTGCAGCCTGTAGAAGTGGACGGGCACATCTTCCAGCAGGCAGGACTCCTTAATGAACTTCAGCACCGCTTCCTTAGCGCTCAGTCCTTGCTGTTCTCTGTGCATCTCTGGGGCATGTTTCAAGATGTAGTCACTCCCCCTCTTTGCAATTATCTAAACCACAAGGAAAACAAACAGGTCAGCAACTCTTCCACGATCCCCAGGGGAGGCAGCTATGATCAACAGCAAAGCAGAGACTGGAGGTGGAGGAGTTCCATACAGTCCCTCAAGACGTTAGTCCACATTCGTCTCTACCTCCCTGGAGGATAAGCATTTAAAGCAGGCCAGATGATACCGATGTCTCCAAACAGATCCTAGATGGCAAAATCGTAACAGACCAAGACTACAGAGGTACTGTCAGCTCTTTTCATTTTTAAGTACGGAATAATTTTTCCTGACTCTTGGCATCCATAAATGCTTATGGGCAGATAACAAATACTGCTCTGCATGCCAACACAATCAACAGCAACATCTCCAAACACTGCAGAAATGCTAGGTGGTCCTTTTAAGACCAGTAACTACACATTAGGCTTATTTAGCATTTCCATCCTCAAAGGGGTGGATAACACTATCTCAAGGTATTTTTTTTATCTGTCAGGAGTGGTTGGCAGGCACGTGGCTTTGCTAAGCAGTAGAAAAACCCACACTGGGCCTTTGGCTCTTGCCCTGTGAGTGCCCAGTTCCCATGCTTGCCCACATGCCCTCTCTGTACAAGGCTACAGGGCAGCCCAGCCCCCTCCTGTGCCAAACTGGCCCTTTCCATGCTGCAAGTGACAGTGACAGATAAGAGGGGTGTTGGCTGAATTTACTTCACAAAATCTCCCACCACTGGGGTCATTTAAAACTAGATCCCACCAGGTACCCGGGAACATCCTGCCAGGAACAACCTGCCCTGGCTCAAGACAACCAGACCCCATCACCACCCAGTTCCCACTTCCATTTTTAATTAAGCCCCTCATTTATTCTGTTTGGCAATGCCTCTGCCCTCCTCTGCATGCCTTGCCAGATTAGTTGCCCTCCCACAAGGAAGGCTGGGCTCGGTGAAGGACAACATCGAGGCCATCAGCTGCACAACATCAGCAGAAATAGACACGCCAGCTCCACAGTTCAAAGCCGGGTTGATCACCCCAGGGCAGCACCGCCTCTCCTCGCTAGCACAAGGCTTGGGGCAGCCCTTGGCCAAGCGATCTCAAGCACGTGTTGGAGGAAGAGATTGCGTTGGAGGTGGAGATCACTCAGTAACTCCCCACAGGAGCCCAGGGGCAGGGAGAGAGGCGTCCCCATGCCTGCCAGATTTTGCTCTTTGTAATGATGTAATAAATCACCCACATACTTGCTTGGGGTTGTGGCTCAGTGCAAGTGAGCCATGCTTTGCCTTGGCCTTTCCAACGTTTGCCAGATAAGCAATAGTCTGTGATAAGACTTAACTGCCCCAGAAACGGCACGCATGAGACTCACTTTTGCCAGCCCTTTGTTAGCTATCTCCTGCCAGGCGCCCCATAGCAAGGGACAGGATGGGATGACGGCCTGTTGTCTGGGAGAACGGTGCATTTCTGCACAGCAAGGCAGGCAGGCTGGGACTTGTGCGTAAAGACTCTGCTTGCCTCCCCAGTGCAAGCCCTGTCACTGCTCTGAACCTTCTCCCCAAAACAAGGGACAGTGCCATTCTTCAGGGGAGACATGACTCACCTGGGGACAAGCAGCCAACCACCAGAGGCATCTGGGCTTTTCAATAGTTACCCCAAGGTGTGGGCTGGACTAAAATCCACTGTCACAGAGGAGAAGGGGGCTCCAGAACTATATTAGGTTGCACAGGAGGGTCTGTCCAGGTCCCAGGGAACATCCTGCTCCAGAAGACGTTACAGTGCCACTTCTGTAACAAAGCTAGCTTCCCTTTCTATTTTTATGGACTCTAAAGTGTTTATCAACAGTTTTCTTGACATTTTACCTCTTGGCTTTCTAAGCTGTTTGTAGGTCTTGAAGGGCACAAGCCCACATGCACATGTTTATAAAACAAACATGCAAACCCATTTCCATGTCCTTCACTTTTCTCTTATTGCAGGTGAGCCAGAGATTAATGATGAAGCAAGCACTGCATAGCAGTACTGCCCCTCAGGGCTTGGGTCTGTCCATCCCAGAGGTATGCATTAGAGAGGAACAAAGGGCAATGGACTTGGCTTTGCAGCCCTGAGGTTTTCTGTACAGCTTAGGTTGTGCAGACCTTGCTGATGTACCACTGCAAACACAAAACCCTTTAAGCCATAGAAGAATCAAACAAATACAGCTGCACTGTAACTGTCGGAGTTATTGATTTGACACCAACACGTTCCCTCACCAAGGAAGGGTACGCACCACCCACCTCACTGATGAGTGAGCCCAGGAGGAACAGGCACCTACATCCCATGGAAAGAGAGGAGATACCTCCTGAGGGAAATTCAGGGTGACGCTCCACCACTCTGCCTGATCATTGCAGTGGGAGTTGGGGAAGTTGTGTGACTGCAGTTATGTACCACCTTGACATACCTCCTGCTCCATGCGCAATCTGTTGACAGAAAGATCCCCCAAAACTTACCCATTGCGGGAAATAGGCCTGAGGTTCAAAATATTTGCCGGCATGGACCTTCTCCCTGTAGTTGCCCAAGTCTGCCTGTAAGCTGTAGGCAGCCAGCAAGAAGTAGATTTCTTCTTTGTGGTTGCACCGAGACATAAGTACTTGCTCTTTGAGGTGGCAGTAGTAGAGCTGCCGTGCGACCTTATCACTGCAAGACACAAAGGCAAATTTACTTGAAGAATAAAAGAAAGTTCAGGCTCAGATAAGGCCCCTCAAACACATCTCCCTTCTGAGAGGAGGGATTAAACTTTGACATCCCTGATGTGTGCCAATGCCACCCTGATACAGTTATGTGTGTGTAGGGAGCACCAAGCCAAGATCAAGGTCTTCTCCCACTGAGTGTTGTACAAACATGGGAAATGGCAGCTTCTCTCTTGAGGAGCATGAGATCTTAGAAGTCAGGGCAGAAGGCAGATGAAAGAGAAATCGCGTCACACCTGTTTTGGAGACTGACTACATCAAGCACTTCTGTTTCTCTGGCAAGCCTGTAGCAGTCAGGAGAGTCAACTCCCTTGACTCCCAGTCCTGTTTCTTGCACACCTGCCCTCCCTTCCCCTCTAAACCTGGCACCGCTTTTTCATTTCACCTTGCCTTAGGCTCAAGGTACTTTTCAACAGCTAATTCCCTGCAAGGTAGATCAAAAGACACAGGAGCCTTGGGCTTGTTTTTGTCGTCTTCCTCAAGCTGCTAAACAGGCAGAGTCTGATAAGGCATAACCGTTGCGTAGCATTGATAACCCACACACCCCACGCTGTAAGAGCTCATGGGAAGCAGGTTGCTGAGGGGTATGTATAGATGAGGTGCTGGACACTACAGTCTGTTTGTAAATGTGTGCATGTATTAGTTTGAAGAGCCCATGCAACCACCTCTGCATGACTCCACAACCTCTCTGATGAAACTACTAGTGCAAGAGAAAGTTGCTTGTAACGCTAAAGGATACGTACATCGGGGGTGGTACAATGATATGCAGTCTCCCTTTGTACCTAAAAGCAAAACTAAATAAAAAACACTGAACAGCCAAACAGACACCAGAAAAAAAAGACTCCACTGTATCCAAAATGAAAGATGATGGAGAGAAAAACAAAAAACCACCAAGCTTTGTTCAAGACGAGGACAAATGCCAAAATTTTGGTAAAGATTTTAATCCAGCCAAATGATCCCAGCTCTTAGCTTGCCCTGGGGTCATAGCCACGCCAGAAGTGCTGATGAAAATTAACTCTGTCAGTTGTTCATTTTTAACTACCTCATCCTTTGTTCTGTACCATGGGTGAGGGTGGTGGTGTTTTGAGTGCAGCCCATATTCCATGTGAATGGACTACAAATGCAAAAGTCTAAGTTAGGAAGAAATTTCTTTTGTCCATTTACAAAAGTCCATTTCCAGGAGTAGACTGCACAGAGCACTACTCAGGTACAAAAAAAACAGATCCAAAATTATTAGCGTGTGCTCTGGAGTATAAATAGCTATTTTTGGTATATTCATCTGATGCCTTCCATACAACCAAAAGATGCAAGCAAAAGAGTGTTGAATGTATTTTGTTACTGTCATCATTCAACCTGCTCTTTAAACAGAGATGGAAAAGCAGTCACAGTTTTCCTGGGGAGACGAGTATGATTCAGGGAGAAAACGTTCATGGCTGGGTGAGGCAGCCTGTGAAGGTCTTTAAAGAAAAAAATCAAGTGGATTTTTTAAGCTTATTTCTGTGAGCTCACAGAGATGAGATTAACAAAGAAACATTATTTTTCTTGCCTTTTAAGAACACAGTGAATACTTCAAAACACAGTAACTACCACAGAAGGGAACTTACCTTATTACTCTTCCATTTTCTACGTAGTATTGTACTCTAAAGAACGCAACAAAAGGAGGGCTGAATTTCTCAGTTCCCTAGAGCAGAGACAGAAGACAAGTCAAATAACGTTCTGCATCCAGAATTCCTGTTACCCCACCTGGTAACATTCTCTTCTCCCAAGCTCGCTCCCCATGCTGCTTTTCATTTTCTACTCTTAGCAAGTTTTGGGGGATGGGGGGGATCTGACTGCCCTGGAGGCTCACAGCAACGAGGCATCATAAAACATTTAGACAGGCTGAATGGCAAAACATCCTAGGGAGGGCAGAATATTTTGGATGGGGGGAAAAATGAGCAGGCATAAGAGCCCCAGCGTAGCCTGGGAATGCCCAGCCTGGCCCAGAGTTCCCTAGCTCAGCACCTGGCAGCGCCGCAGACGCGTCAGGGCTGAACGCAGCAAGTTTAACACAACCTCCCTCAAAGCATCAGGCACGGCGGCAGGGCCGCAGGGCAGCGTGCCATGCTGGCAGGGCTGCGGCGTTTCCAGGGCACTCCTAGGAGTAACGAGCCATCTCTGCGCCACACCACATCACTCCTCGGCAGGGACACACGTGCTGCCGGGTTGAGCATTTACTGCCCGAGGCTGAGGCGCACCAGCCTGATATTAACTCCTCGCCTTTTGTTTGGCAGGGCTAATGTTTAGTTATTCACACTTTCCTGCAGCCACAGACCAAAAGGAGACATTGATGTCTGCTTCACGCTGAAGATGTCTGTTAGAAGAAAGCCAGCAAGAGTTCTGTTGTTGTTTTAACTACAGCCTACCTTTCAGACTTGCAGGCTTGTTTAAATAGGAGAAAAAAAGAAGAAAAAAAGAAAATAAGGAGTGGGGGGAAAGGAACATCTTATCTCACTAGCTCATTCTCTCATCTTTCCTACATTGCCACTCACTTCTTTAACGTTCATACAGGTGACACTGCTCACACTGGCAGTTCCAAGGCATTGCTGGTCAGACCCATCTCACTGGGACAATGTACGTGGCACGCTGTGCACACGTGATGCAGACAGCAACTTCTTGATCATCATGCAAATATTGGCATTCTATTTCTGGAACTTATTCATAGTCACCCTATTATTTTTTTTTAATCAGCTGGACTGGGCTTTCCACCTGAAACCTCTTCATAGGAATTAAATCCCTGTCTTCTAACCCAGCCCAATAACCTAATTCCTTTCTGACTTCAGTACTGCCAATGGCAACTCATTCAGCCTTTTATGATTCACCTCACACCAGAGGTTCGACACTTATCCTGACTTAAGTGTTGCAAGAATCCAGCCTCAAAGCAACCACAGAGCGTAACCCATCCCAAGGTGACCAGAAACACCCGCCTCAGGAAACCCTCGCTGGCTGGACAGACAGCCCTCCGCACAACTGGCAGCTGTCTTTGAAGTAACCCTCACTTGTTTGGGAGAAGCAATATGTGATAAGAGACATCCCTAAACCTCACTAGTCAGCTGCAAACTTTTCTCAGCAGCAGAAATGGCAAGTGTGCCTACTCTGCAAAAGAAAACCCTTAAGGAAGGTGGAAAAAGTCATAATGAGCTAATTAAAGTATCGGAATGTAATTGCATAGAACCCTTTGTTCTAGACCGCGGCTCCTCTAAAATGACACACACAAACAGGCATTATCATGCCTGAATGACCTGCACTAAACAATTACACAGGCTTGGCTTTATTGCACTTAGCTTTTCCCTCCCTTGACAGGGCTGGCTAGCCTTAAAGAACTAAGACTTCTTGAACAAAATATCCTTCCTTTTACTCCACTGTCCTTTTGCATGTACTCTGGAAGAGTCACAGCTCCAGCCCTCTCCCTCACATCAGGTTCAAGTCACAAAAGGTCATTTTAGGTTGTTCTGCCTAAGGATAACAGTGAGGTCTCCACAGTCTTCACTGGCTCGGCTGAGTTCAAAAGGTAGACTGACCAACTGACCTTCTCCACTCCTGCAGCAGAGCAGCTAAGCTGTGACCACATGGCTGCCGTTGCCTAGGTAAAGTTCTGTAAGGGGCTGTTTTAGCTCTTATAATTAACTGTACAGCCGTGCACAAGTCACTGCATCTTGCTACTGAACAGCATCCGGCAGATCATTTTCAAGAAATGCTTTATGGATCTTAGTTTAAGAGCTTTCATTTCACTGTGTAGTCCACTACCAAGGCAGTAGCCTCTGAAATTAAACATCTGTCTTACTTTGGTGGTCTCTTTCTTCCATTCCTTTGAAAAGTATTTGCTGAGCTTCTGCTCCAGGTCTATAAAAACATATTCATTATCTGAAAGACAAGAGGAAAAAGCATTTAATGTTAAAGAAATAGAAATTCTTATTCATGAAATGCTTAAATGACTATACAAGTTGTTTCCAAGCAACAAAGCCAACCAGGGAATAGACGAGGCAGGGAAAAGAGAGGGCACCGAGTCTCTTAAGTACATGTGCTATTCCAGACAGTAAGGAAGGAAGGTCAGCTATGCCTTGATACAAGAAATGCTAAGCTAAAGTTTCCCAAACACCTTAGCCAGAAATGCAGAATTCTTGCTTCATAAGCAAGAAGCCACTTACAGAAGGGAAACATCATCTTACCAAGCTAATTGTACTGCCAGTTTAGCAGATTCAGCTTTTTTATTATTACTAAACAAGCAAGCCCTATTCATACTTCCACTCTGCCACCATGTAGCACCATGGTCCAACGCGGCATAAGCAAGTGGACAGAGTCAGGTATTTGACAGGTTTAAGCCTCTACATATGAATGGGATCCTCTGCAATGGTGAGAAGAAGGAGGACCAAACCAAATGCCCTCCTCAGAAGGTCTGGCGTCTCCTGCTCACACCCAACTTCTTTCATAGAGCAAAAAGATGAATGAAGGGAAGGGAAACCTGGCCGGCCTCAAAGGACCAGGACCTCCTCTCCACCCAGGTGAGGGTGAACAAGAGACATTTGTTAACATTTTGTTACACTGCTTCACAATTATCAAATCCAAACAACCCAGCCAGTGAAAGATTTTTTCCCTAAGTCTTCTCAAGTGTCTTCGAAAGAGACCTGATGGATGTTTCAGGCTTCAGCAGCAACACCAGCTGAGCACATTCACCTGACCAGTTCCTCTACTCTTTGGTCTTACCCAGGAAAGTGTTTTGACAGGTGACATAAGTGCCAAGTTGAAGAGCTCGTTCCTTAGACATGAAAGGAGCAGGGAGGGGAAAAAAAAAAAAAAGAAAGAAAAAAGGTAAAAAAAGGAAAAAAAAAAACCTTCACAAAACAACCTTTTGCCCCTGAAGATAAGACAAGCTTTAGGACTTCCAAGATTTGGCATTTGCTTTCTGGTGTCAAACCAAAAAAAAAAAAAAAAAGAAGAAGGGGAGAATAGAGGTCAATTTTTTCTAATGAAGATTTACAACCAAATGAGAGCCTGTGCTTGCGTCTGTACATCAGACAAAGGACTGGCAGAGGGCAGCGTTACAGCAGGTATTCAAGAGGGCTCTGAGCTACCTCGAAGCCATCCTCCCAGAGCATTCCAGTTCTTTACAGGGGCAGATGCAGCAAATACCTCCTTTACAAGCTTTTGAAAACAAGCAAAACAACCCCATATTGCCACATCCTTCAGCTCCCATCTCCAGCGAGAGACAACCACACCTGGTGCTAGCCAAAATTGGTCTACACACCACACCAACAGGAAGCCTTGTGTAAAATAACAGTAACACTGGACACAAACAATGAGGACAATCCCCAAAAAGTCCTGTTTTCATGTCTATGGTCTTTCCTGCATTGTACTGACTGCAGCTGTAATTTTAATGTAGTTACACTTTTGTTTACCACATTGTTGACATGTCACACACATACGCAACACAGTGTTTAACAGCGCTGTTGAAATTGCTGCACAGAAATCCTGACAGTTTTAGTGGTGGGAATTTAAGTGCTGTAGCACATATGAGGTAATATAGAAGTTGTTTTGCTATTTTTACAAGGAGAGGAAGAGGTTTTAGCATCACAGCAACTGCATCTTGTATCTGCGTCTTCACTTATTCCTGTAAGACAGGGACCCGGGGGGGCTATGCTGGCCCCAACCCTCGCTTCTCTAAGTCCATTAAGATCAGATAACGCTGCCTTGAAAAGGTTGACAGAAGTCCTAGTCAGTGAGAGAGATGGGTTTGGCCCATCTCTTAGACTTGTCTCTGTCCCTTGTCAGCTGCCAAGCTGATAAGCGTCTCTCTACAGCTTTTCTTAAAAAGTAAATAAAAGCTCATGTAGGAAGCAATTGCACAGCAAGCGACAGGAGCGGGATAACACGTGCACAGCACCAGGTCCCTCCCTGGGCTTCAGCAGTCCCAGGGCAGGGTGCTCACTCGACTGCAGCGGGACTGGGGCTGCTCCTGACGGCATGGCAGTGTCGGGCAAAGCCTGTATCGGCTCTGCCAGTACCACGGTGTTTAGCTGCCACCCTGTAAAGAGGAGGAGCAGGGAACCTGCTCAGCTGTAACAAGCTGTGGAGTTAGTCTTCCCTTCTTGCTCAGGAATAATCCTGTGCTCAGAGGTGTTTAGGGAAAAAAAAATTATTCCTCAGACACAAAGGGAGAGATGTCAACAGCAAGGGCGGTGATATACCCTGAGCCATCCTGTCCCACACAGATACTGGGACAGAAAGGGGAAAAGGATGACAGAGCAGTTCCACCATAGTAAAGCCATTTGTTACCCACACCCCACAGACCCTATTTATCTCTGTCACGTTAATTAGGTTAGGGAGATGACTCTGGGAGGGCCCAGACGCCAAGCCTGAGGACTCCAGGTCATTATCATGCCTACTGAGAGCTGCACATAAACTCCAAGAATAAGCCAGGCTGAAGCAGGAGGACACCCTGATGTATCAGCTCTCCCTGGGGGTCCCACTCTTCGCCAGCCCAGCCCAGCATCCTCCCCGTCCTCCCTCCCATGCAAGAATGCAGCGCTGCATACCTGCCTTAATGAAGTTAATATCACTGGAATGTCAACCTGCAGTGTAAGGCTCCATCTACAAAAACAGAGAGGTATGTCCCTCCCCAGCCCTACGTGGGTTGTGGGTTTTTCCTCCTTAAACTGGATTAGTGGTGAAACTTGGAGATCTTTTGCCAGATGCTAAAACTGTCCCTCCTTTGAAAACAACCATCTCTAACAGAGATGAGGGCACCACATTGCAGCACCTCAGAGCAGTGCTGTAGAGGACAGTATAGAAATGCACAGATGGCCGCCTTTCCAGAGAAGACAGCGTCAGATCTGTGGATCCAAACAGGGCTGGATACTCAGCAGGTACGAATTGCCATTGGTTCACTGGACCCAGCGGAAGGGCAACAACCGAAAGGTACTAAGAAGCTGGCTTAGAAGCACACATGCAAATACGCACCCATCCACCTGCAGCTACTGACACTGAGTTCATGAAACTCATCTGAGCACTGCCAGTGAGCTTAAAAATATATCATCTTCTTTTAAAAGGTTCCCTCATGTACGTGTGCGCAGATGTCAGACTGGCACAACACACCAGTGCACTGCACTACAATCCCAAGAAACGCATCTAGACAGCCAGCCACATTTCTCCCAATTTCAGCTTTTAAGAGCCCTCAAACGAAATGGAAAGTTTAAGCTGTAAAAAAATCTCACTTCAAATTAAGCAGACACCAGAAATGCAAAACATTCAAGCGCTCCTACTCTGCAAAATTACCTTAGCACATTTATGTATTTAAGCAAATACAGAATGTGCATTGTTGCAAAAAAAAACCCCAAAAAACTAATAGGGCAGGTCTGCAGTCAGAAAAAAGTGACAGTTCCAGTGAGTGATGCAGATTTACAATAGGCATTATTTACACTGCAGGGAAAACAGGAATAGAAAATTATGGCTCTAAGGCAGGGTCAAATCAGTTCCGAGTCATCGTTACTCCAAAAGCCATTGTTTTGCATTAACCAGTGCCTCTCCATTTTTTATATAAGGTAAGTTCCCTGCAGAGAAGATAAGTAATGGTGAACACAAGAGATCCGTTCTTCTCCTGTGCCCCTTTTGGGCTAGGAGCACTGAGAAATTCCATAGAGAAAAGTCCTGTCCTACCAAGAGGCAGAGCTCAGGCCCCATTGGCAGCCAGGAAGGTCCAATTAACACCTTTGGTTGAGTCAAGTATATTTAATTTTATAACTGTTTAGACACTCCAGAAGATTAGGATTCGAATAAAATATGAATTACTGCAAAGTCAAACTTCCACATAGTAAGCATTTTCTGCCTTAAAGAGAAGGGGGAAAAAATTATCCTCAGCTATAACACTTAGCTTCTCCCAGATGCTGCAAGAAGCCTCACAGCAACACCACTGTTTCCCTTCAGAGGCAAAAGGAAAGAGACCGGGAACAGAACAGAGGGGTGCTGGGGTTAGGAGAGCACTAAAGCTTAAAAAACCCCTGAACAAACAAACAAAAAAGAAACAAAAAACCAAAACAATGCTCAAAAATACCTCACAACACATGCTGTAGACCTCACATAACCTGTTTAGCTTCCCTGAATACCAGCATGGGTTTTTTTGTTTGCTTATTGAAGAGGAGCTGGCTACACACTCCGTTTGCATGTGGAGCGCCCCAGGTTTCCAAGTGCTAGTGGCCTGGGAACATCACTATCCACATGGCATCTGCTCCCACCATCTCTATATAACTTCTGTATGCTCCTGGTGTCACTTTTCAAGCCAACAGAAAGAAACCTCGTCCACTTTTCAGTACCTGGTTGATTCATTTACCAAGGGGTCTAGAAGAACTTGTTTCAGGATAACCTTGTGTTTTTAGCTTTAGTTGGAAAGTACACGTATCCCAAGTGAAGAAGGGAAGAACCACAAGAGAGCCTGGGAGTAAAGCAAGGGAGGTCCTGGCTGAGGTGACTTTACCTGGGATGGACAGAAGGTATATGGAGGGAAGAATGAAAGGAGGCAATATCGGGAAGCCCGAGGTTACATGCCTGTTAGGAACTGTTGAGGTCTCAAGACTGAGATAAAGGCTCAGTCATTCCTGATGATGGATAAGTACTGCAGGAATTTTATGTTGGCATCTTACAGTTAGCAACAAGGCATGCCCAGGCAAAGATCTTTGCACTTTTGGCAGTATCACAGGGGATTCTTCTGCACAAGAAGAGCTGCAGAACCATTTCCAGCACTGCTCATCCAGGAGCAAACAAAGCCCTTGTAATTCTCAGGCAGAAGAGCGCTTGACTGGATGTTGTAGTGATGCTGAAGAAGCAGCAACTGACGGCATGTACAGGCAAAAAAACGCCTTCCTAGGAAGAGACCATACAAGTACTGCCAAGGAGTTGATATATACTTTTTGAACACCTGAACCTCTGCAATTCCTTCTAGGTGGCACATTTCTGCACGTTTTTCTTACATTGCATTTAACTCATTTGAGGTATCAAAGTCATTATAACAGAAGTGTATCTTAGGTTAGAATACAGAAGAAATTAATAAGGGAGATGCAATTATCCAAGCAGATTTAAGGGAGGAGAGACAGAAGTAGGGATAGCGGGGAAGGACTGGGGAATAAAAATCACCAGAGGTTATTTTGGAGAACTTCCATTGTCATCTGTCTTCTTAAGAGACCCTTTGTTATAATAGATACTCACATAATATAAAGATAACATGGTAGCGTATTCCATCCATGAACTTCAGTACTGGAGGATACACAGATGCAGAAGTGTTAAATGGACAGAGAGAGGTCTAAGCAGAGTTAACCACCAAGCTCCTTGCTAAGCATGTGCTGGGAGGCATGGGTCTGACAAGGCGAACTGCCATCGCTCTAATAACCGAAAGATGACCCTCAAGGCAGGGGAGCTGAAGCAAAGGGATTTGGTTTTTTTGAAAGCCACCCTGGCAAACTGATAAGAGGACACAGAGAGACGGTGGCAGGGTGTAGGAGCTGCAGGCTTGCTCCTTCCCACTTGAAGGCTTCCATCTGCTTGGGTCAAGCAAGGTTTGCTCCTAGAAAGGAAAAGCCCAAGATTCAGGATCACAGAGATCTGGGTTATAACAACAAAGGAGGCCTGGCTGTTCTTTGTCTGCTGACAATCAGTTTTGTTTTAGAAGACTGAAGTGTGTCGCTGCATACACTTTCCGATAACAAGAGGGAAACCTCCAGCAGGGCACTAGATAAGGTTGACCCTGCAAGAGAAGCTGCAATGTAAGACCCAGCTGCTGAAGCCTATGGAGCCAGCTTGAATCTGGCAGGGTTGCAAAGTCTTTCACTGAGCAAACTACAAAGAAAAAAATGCACTTCAGCAGCAACAGCACACAAGGTATAGCCTGCTTGATGACCTGTGACAAAACTAGAAGAGCAACACGTCCCAGGATTTGTGCCAGTGTGGCTTCCCATTAATATACACTCCTGAAGTTAATTTTCAAAGTGATCAAATTCTTCTTATAGATGCAAGATTTTTTGGATGAAAGGGTTTTTGTCTTGAGAATGAAAAAACTCAAGAGCAAAAGGGGTAAAAAATTCTGTTCTGCCACCATTACCATTAACTTAAATCCTGAAGCTTGCCCTCAGCATCTGCAACAGTCAGAAGTGAAGGCAACGAGTTTAGGCAACAAACACTGGAAGACAGGCTCCAAGACCTAGAGCTTAGATCTCACCGCATTCGTGAATTGCAGTTTGCACAGTGCTTTGTGGTGCTGCTTTCATTTTTGCCACACTTAGGGGTTAAACTTCTCTTTATGATTAAGCAGCCCAACCTCTCCCCCTCACACACATACTTACTACCAGACCAAATGAGCATTAGTCTATCTGTACAGCGTCTGCAGGTCAAATGGGCTCCTAATCCAGATAATCCACCCAGTGTGATTGGTTACAGTTCTGTGGAAATCCCTTAATTTTCATTCTCTTGCCACTGCTGACAGTCAGGGTTTTGTTGACAAATTAGCAGCAAGGGAATGGATGCAGGTGGATTAGAATACCTTGTTCTGCATATGGAAGCATCACACTGCCAAAAATAAATACACATTAACAAACGGGGAAATATCCCCTTATTAAAACAGGGCAGTTGTTTCTTAAAAAAATGACATCTTAGAGCTGCAGTGCAGAAAGGTGAAAGCACAACGCAGAAGGGGAATACTTTGGTCTGAAATGCAGAGGTTTCCTCTCTGGTTTTCAGAAATCTAACCCACCCTTGCCTCACAGACCAGCCTTCAGTTCGCAGCCTCCGCAGGATGTACACCGCCTCACTACCTGGCCAGGGCAGTTGACTTAAGTACTCACAAGACAACCCTGGGGATTGCAAAACTCACCCAGGCCTCTCCGCAGCCTGACGGGACTGCTTCCCTTTCTTGAGACGACAACTCGCCATCAAACCAAAAATCCCTGAAAAGCAGCTGATGCCTTAAAGGCTACTTCCAAATGCCAGAGATGGAGAGTGCTACATTTGCAACAGATGCAAGACCCCACTTACCACTGGCAGCAAGGGAGATGTTCACCAGTCTGTTGGCCAAAACAGGGGGGTGGGTGTGGGAAATCAAGTTGTGGAACAGAAAACCAAAAGACTCCCTTTGCTAGAGCTCTGCAGTAATAAACCTGGAGCTATTTTAAAAACAAAATAAAATTAAGGAAACTCTACAACCCACTGCACAAGACTCTAGACAGCAGCTTGCTGGACTTGCCCAGGTTTGCTCCCTCCCTCGAGAGCGGGCTGCAGCCTTCCCAGGGGCTGCGGCCATTCAGGCTGAGAAACTCCCTGCCGACACTTTCCGGTTGTCCGGCCCCAAGTTTCTTCAACAAAGGCACAAACAAAAGTAAATCATCTCCTCATCCAAAATCCTGGCACCTGCCTGGGTGGTGGAGGGAGATGGCTGTCAGGAGGAGCCAGGGTGACCATGAGGAGCCTTCAATTAAGCAGCTTTACAAACTGAGCTACAGCAAGCAGGAGTGAGGAATAGTCAGGAAAACAAAACAAAACAAAAGATAGGTTAATTCAGGCTACCGGGCTAGTGCAACTCTTTTCCTTGATGTTTTTCTAAGAGCTTTGCAAAGAATTAGCTTCTCTAAAAAGGAAGAACACTTTTGTGAGCAAGAAGATTGTTTATGCTTAAAGCTATGGGCAATATACTTTAAGGTCTAGTCAGCACAGCTTTATTGTGCTGTTTGGGTTGGGGTAGTTATACTGCATTTCCAACAGGCTGAAAGGCATCTGCCACAATAGGGTACTTTGACGCCAGAGCCCCTCTCCTTGGCAGGGTGAAGGAAACTGCTCCACACAAAAGGTGGGAGGGAGGGAAAGAAAAAGCAGCTTACAGAAAATATGAAACAAGATAGATATGGACAGGGAAAAAAAGTGAAAGAAACACAAGGAGAACGAGAGAAGAGCACCTAATTCAAAGAAAAGGGGAATGAAATTGCTCTGTCTTACAGGGGAGGACAGGAGCTTGAATTTCACCCAAGACATCCTGCAAGTGGAATAGGCAAAAACTGGTGTTATAAAAAGGTGATGGAGGGGAACACTCACTGGAACACAGCAGATTTGTGAAAAAAGTTAAGAGCATTCAGGTCTTCCTCACATCAAAAAATCCTGTGCTGGTTTAAATGCACAGATGCATTTGTTAGCTACTGGTTTAGTTATGTTGATGGAATCTCTTAGAGACTACAAACCTTATGGAGATAAAGAACTTACTTTAGTTTTAGTTTGAGTACTACGCTCAAAAAAAGAAAGAGTTCCTAGAGAACGAGAGCAGAAATGAAATGAGACAAGTAAACTTAAAAGAAACTATTTTATATCCCACATACTCATAAGGAGTCAAAAGAAACCTTATTCAGAAGGACTCATAAAAGACTATTCTCATTTCTATGAAACAATATCTAGAGTTGCAGCAGTAAATAACACACTTGAGAAAAATTTTGGAGGAAAGAAAAGACCTTCCCACGCTTTTGAAAATGTGGGGAGACAGGATAAGCAGGACAACAGGTCCATTTCTAATTAGTAAGAGTTGAGGAAGGGAGGGTGCCAATGCACACACCATCCTAGAAATGTAGTATCTCATATCAGTTTGCTCTTTTAAGGCATCATCTCACACTGTTCCCTGGTCAATACCAAGCCGTATGACGAAGCAGACTGGACTTCAACCCACGGACTAAGAAGTTTTGTATTTCCCATGCGATATTTCAAAAGCCAATGTCCCCCACACAAGCATTCAGTCCCCTCAAACCTTTTGAGTTTCCTCCCCCTGGTCCCACATTCTTTGCATGTGACTTCAGAAGATAAGTAACACTTTCAGCCCCAAAGTCCTTTTAAAATTCACCTCCTGTTCAGCTACTGACAGTTTTGAATTCAGTGACAAATATGTTGGCTAGCAACTTGGCTACAGGAGAGAAAGAAAACCCCACAAAGAGGTGGAACATAAGAACAAAGGAGGAGAACAAAAGCCCCCCCTCTTCTCCCAATTTGTCTGCCCACATACCAAAGATCAAAAGAGCTTGGAGAAGTCTGTGCATAATCTACATACTTTGTGACCTTATTACAATCAAATTCCCCCCAGGCACGGCCGCTGTGTATATATGCACACACTGTAAATACACAAGCGGGTCTGTGGACATTTGCCAAGTCATTTGCTCCGTGCATTGAGTTTGCTTACTTTTAACAATGCTGAGGCCAAAGAAGTGAGGCTCTTTAATCTTCACTAAATCACAAACTTGCTGAAAGAGCTCCTGTCCAGTGGCTTTGACCTGAAAGAAACAACCAATCCAACATTACAGATGGCTCACACACCTGGATGGAGCAATTCGCCTTCTTTACATTGGCCAATGCATTTTTGGGTACCACAGCAAAAAAACAAAAAAACCCAAAAAAACCCCAAGAAACCCAAACAAAAAAAAAAAAAAACACATAACACGCTTTGTTTTCAGTTGTAGTATTGCTATTATCACAGAGTCATAATCAACATGTCATTCTTCCTCCCTCACAGTGTCAAGTGGCTCTGCTCAGTATGACATGAATTAAAAGCTTCCTATCTATTGGCATCTTTGTGTAAGAATTTGGAGCACTGCTGGAGCCCTCATTTTGTGCAGCACCTACCAGGGTATTTATAGGTGCTCTTACAGAAAGTGTGTTTGTAATCACAGAAATGAAAATACTACTCTCTTGCAGAATACTTTTTTTTTTTTGAGAGGTTAAGAGGGGAAAAAAAAAAAACAAAACACCACAAAAAAAGAAAACTTTCATTCAGGAGAAATGAAACCAAAAGTACAAAAACAAACCCAAGACTGCATGGTTTGAACAGAAACAGCTCATGTGTTAGAGATGAGGTTGCTCTGTACCCCACACAGAAGAGCTGTCCCCTGCTGGCTTCTGGTCACACAGCAATTAACATCTTCATCTTCTGAAGCTGTCACCAATGGCCTATGAGCTCTTGCCCATTCACACTGAGACCTTCCAGTACCTCTGCCCCACGTCACGTCATGCATGCACTGAGGAAGCACTAGGAAAGCAGAGGTCCCACCATACGCTGCCGCAGGGGAGTGGAGGCTGGGTGATACCTGCAAGCACGGTACAGGGTACGAGAGCGCCGTGGCACAGCAGCACAGCTACTGAACGCACTGGTCTAACGGGGGAGCTCAGGGCACACCAGCGAGAGCATGATTCTGGCTACCTGCACGTGCAGACCTGGATGTGTATTATGATCGGAAACTTCCCTCACTAAATGTCCTCCCAGCTGTAGCCTCCTTCCCACCTGCCCCATGGCACCACCCCAGGGTAACAGACAGACAACCACAGGCACAAACAAACCCACCCCCAACCCTCAGAGGCGTGGGGGAACAGGGAGAGATGAACAACACTGACACAGACGTGCTCAGCTCAGCCCAGGGTGCAGCCAGCTTCAGCTGCAAAATGGGCCAGAACCTCTGAATTTCATCGTGCCGCTGCTGGAGGATGCAGGTGAGCAGCAGCAGAACAGCCTTCCCAAGGAGGGACGGTGCAGCGCTACCTTCACAGCAGCAAAGATGAGGGGGCAGAAGTTGACTAGTGAACTCTCCTACAAACTAATCACTGCCATCAAACTAATCACCACCATAATTCTTCAAACCCTTTTGGTGCAGGCGTGCCACACTCCTCAAACCAGCTGCACTCCCCTCCCTGCCCTAGGATGTACCATGTCAGTAGACACGGACAATGGGAAACTGGAGGTCATTTAAGTACTCATTTTCTTCTATGTGACAAGGCATCACTAGCCAGCCACTCACCACTGCTTTATCAGGAGCTTTGAAACCTGTGCTACACCAATACACACACAGACACGCATGCGCATATACGTGCTTTGGGGTGGGAAGAGGTAGTGCACAGTTCGCTAAGACCCAAAAACCACATCTGGGTCTTGTTATGGGTTCCGTGTGAGACTCCACCCTTACAGTCTCACACCTAAATGCGGTATTTGCTCAGCCACTAAGAACATGCAGTTGGAAGGGAAAGTTGGGCACGGATCTGTCTCCTTTCCCAAGCAAGCAAGCTCTGTGCATGTTCTTCTATTCGAGAAGGACTCACCAAGGAAGAGGTGACCTACCTCTAGCCAGAATGGTTATGTGCATACACCACGGCACAAGACTACGTAAAAGCTATACGATTGGGTAAATTCTGTACGTGGCATGCTTTCACACCTAAGGAAAGAAAAACCTGCTTTAGGATACTTAGTTCTAGGGAACTGAGCCCTTCAATGTTTTGTGACACTCAGCTCTAAAGCAGTGATTTAACCAGATTTCGTGCACAGCAGGTATGTGAGCTACCACCTTGTCCATTCTCCTTTTGGCACTTCCCTTCTATATCAAGTTTTACTCCAAGCCTCCAAGGCCATGCAGCACCGATCACACTTGCAATCGCTGTTCCCTCCTCCTGCCTTCCCCTGTGCTCAAAGCAACCAACATTTCCTTTTGCATTTTTCATCTGCACGCTTCTTTTGGCCTCTCCTCCCTTTGCATATGGTTCCCATGCCAAGCTCCATCCCAGACATGCCATGAATCATTCCTTCCCCTGACACTCAGCTTGGCCCGATGTCAGACTTGGGGCTTCTTCACACACGAAGTTTAGTCCACAGTGAAGTCAAGTACAAATTTACAGAAGGTAACTGCTACTCCAGGGTCATTCTGTGTGCAAATATTCATGCATATTGGTTACTTATCTCTATTTGTCTTGGTCCATACACTTTATAACATCAGCTCTCCTGCTCACAGAACAACTGAAAGACTTCAGACCTATGCTTTGCCCTTCCTCAACACACAGGACCTCACCAGACTTCCTCCCCTCCAAAAATTTCTGCTCACGCTCCCACCCTTTCTCCAGCAGCTAGAAAAGGAGCAACATCTGCCGTGGCTGCTTCTGAACTACCCGAAGAGAGGCAGGGTGGCTGCTTGTCCTGCTCCCCTCATTGGCAGCCGGACCTTCGCTAGCATAGGTGTCTCTCCTTTATTCAGCTGCTACCACCCCACAAAATTTTCAGAAACCTAGTCATAAAAAAGTAGTTGATATTGATCAAAACTATCAGGGGCATAAGCCACACTGCTGGCAGATAATCAAAACTGAACACTGCTCCAAGAGCTTTGGTGTGACCAATACAATTTTTAGTTGCACCATTCTCACTCACAGCCTGCTTAAGCTCCCCCTTGGTGCTCACACTCCATCTCCCCACTGGGGCTGCCTGGAGCAAGGCAGACTGCTTTGCTCTGTGCTCTGATGTTCCTTCTCCCCAGCAGAAACCTCCCACTTTGCCTCGCTGTCCTCGGGGCGGCTGGTGAGCTGCAGCTCCCACTAGTTCTCCTCACTGCTATGCTTCTCCTCATGTCCGCAGTTGGTCCTGGGAAGACAGTTTTCCTCCTCACCAACCCCTCAACTTAATCTATACATCCAGAAAGGTGGACACCAACGTTAATTAAGAGATACGTGATTATGGTGGAAGAGACTTTAAAATGGCTCCTGCTCCTCTCTCTTCATCAGCACTATCTACGAAGGGCATAAGATAAATCCATTTTAAAGAGTGGGCTTCAATCTACCTGTGACCACATAAAACACATATAGGTAAACTCTTATCTGGAAGGGTGGAATTTACATGAGAAGGGGAGAAAGGAATTACCTGCATAAACACTGTGCTTATCTCGGGAAGGATCTATAATTTATTCTGCTGGAAGGATAATCATTCCTACCTACCTCACTGAGCTGCAAGCTTGTTTAGTATTTGCATTCCACACTGAAGAGGTTAAAAGGCTTTGGAAATCTTAAGTAGTGGCATTATTATTCTAATAAATGCACAAAGTATCATCTGTGGTTGTGCTAATTAAATTTGGGTTCTACCAACATCACTAGAAAATTGCCTTGATGTTCCTTTAGAAAAACAAAAAGATCTCTCCAGCTGTGAAATCTTAATTTTTGTTGTTGTTTTGAAGGGGTGTTGTGGTAAAGACAGAAGCCAAATGAAAAGCTGGTTTTGGTGACTTGCCCAGCTGTAACAGGTCATGTTTCACTCTCTATGCAATTAGGACACAACTGTGCATTGAGGTCTCATGTTTTGGCCCAGGCAGCTATTCCCTTTCACATGCAGGCATCTCCACGTACTTATTTTCCCAGCTTCTCAGCCACCAAAGCAAGGGGCAGAAGAAGCAAGTAGGGAAAACGTCTTTAAAAGGGCTGCCGAGGGGTGCTGTGACAGGGACCCCTCTGTGGGACAAGGCAGCGATGCTCAAGGTGCCCTGACTCTTTGGAGGGGCTGCAGGCAGGAATGGTGTGGGACACAGCAACTTCCCTCTATCCCTGCTAGCGCTCAATGCAAAAGGCCATTTCTTATGCTTATTAAATACCCTGAAGGTATTTAAAAGACGTGTTGATGTGGCACTTAGGGGCATGGTTTAGTGGGGGACTTGGCAGTGTTAGTTTTATGGTTGGACTTGATGACCTTAAGGGTCTTTTCCAACCTAAATCATAGAATGGTTTAGGTTGGAAGGGCCCTTGAAGATCATCGAGTTCCAACCCCCCTACCATAGACAGGGACCCCTCCCACTAGACCAGGTTCCCCAAGGCCACATCCAGCCTGGCCTTGAACACCTCCAGGGATGAGGCCTCAACAACTTCTCTGGGCAACCTGTTCCAGTGCCTTACAACCCTCAAAGCAAAAAATTTCTTCCTAATGTTTAATCTAAACCTGCCCTCTTCCAGTTTCAAAACATTCCCCCTCATCCTATCACTACATGCCCTAGTAAAAAGTTCTTCCCCGGCTCTCCTGTAGGCCCCCTTCAGGTACTGGAAGGCCGCAATAAGATCTCCCCGGAGCCAGGCATGATTCTGTGATTCTCCAGGCATGATTCTGTGATTTTTATGATAAACTGCAGGTATCCAGGATTTACCATATGGTCTGAGCGCTGCCTAAACTTAACGCAGCAGAGCGTGACCCAGCCGTGTGCCCAGCTCAGGCACGGGCGCAGTGGTGACGGGGACAACCCTGACGGCACCCTGCCCTCCTGCACGCCACTCTGCCCCTTCCCCCCGAGCAGGGCGAGCTATCTCAGATCTTTAGCCTCCCTGAGAAAAGCTTTACGAAGGTGAGATTTAGGGTCAGCCACAACAGACCATTGCTCTGGTCTGCACACCTGCCACCAAGAACTTAATTAAATCATCATTTTGTGGCTTGCACAAAAGCCGGCAGATCACAAAAGCCTTCTGGGGTGGTAGATGGGCTGGGTTTGAACCGGTGACTTAGAAGCAGAGCACCCCAGATTCTGCCCTTAAAGCCTTGTTCCATCCAGTCCTTGTGGCTGTTTCAAGTTAACGATGCCACACTTCAGGCGCAGCAGGTAGGAAAATTCCTACATGGATTTTGAAGATTAGCACGCATAGTTTCAAAAGCCACCGTTTCAATTAAGTGCTTAAAATAACAGTTCACCTCAACTGTCTTCTCCCCTTCTCCATCCCAGGGAGGGGTGGTAGTAGTGGGGAAACCCACCCAAAACAAAGCCAAACTTCCCCCAGCCCACACACGAGTGCCCCCACTCACAGGAGAGCGCTTATCTCTGAGGCTCGCTTGTCACCTGAACCTGAAGTGCCTCTGTCAGCTCAGTTTCTCACAAGTTCAAGGAGCAGCCGGCGTTGCACAAAGAGGCACGGGGCGGTGATGGACACCGTGCCACTCTGGGCTGCCTGCTGACCTGGCGCTGCTGTCACTCATGCACACACACTTCAGCACTTGAAGTGGCGATCAAAGGAACGAAGCAACTTACCTCTATTTTTTTTTTGTGTACAAGTACTCAAAGGAGGGAGAAAAACCCTCCATGGTTGTTTACTCTGCCTTAGAGTCTTTGAAGAGTTCTGCAGGCTATCAAAACCAGAAACAGCTAAAACGCCAGAGCAAATGGTCATGTGTTGGGCACGCTTGCTAAGTCATCAACGCATTTCAGGTGCAACATTTTTTACAAATTGTTAGATTATCATCTGTGGCCCAAAAAAAAGAAAAAAAAACCAAACAAAAACCCCACACTCTGAGAGAATAAAAAAGAAATAACAATGGAAAAAGAGCAGAGGGGACACCCTATCGGAAAAAAACAACCGGGACTTTTAAGGAACTCTGCAAATGAGTGGAAGCTGCCCAATTAGAAAATGGAGCACCAATTACCCTAAGCTGGCTAATAGCCTTTCGGTCAGCAGACCGGCACCAGGCTTTTGGGAGAACAATGGGAGCTCATAAGAACTGCACGGCAGCACCAGCCAGCCAGGCCAGCAGACCTCCCGGCTCCCCTCTCGGCCACTCACCCCGACGGCCAGGCTGAGCTGCTCCCGGGTGGGCAAGAAGACGCAGACGTTCCGGCTCTCTGGCTGCATCCTGCCGGCCAGCAGCGCCCGGCTCATGGTTGGGCAGCTCCGCAGAGGTCCGGGGGGGTCTCCTCTCCGGGCAGGCGTCAGGCTCCCGTCATCCCACACACCTGCCGAGAAGGTGAGAGAAGAGAGCATCAGTGCCATGTCCCTCGCCGGCGCAGGGAGCAGCCTGCAGCACGTGTTTGACGGGATGTTTTCCCTCGTTGCGGTTTTACAGTGCCACAGTCAGCATTCCCACCAGCACTGCGGCACAAACCAGGCAGAGTCAACCTTTAAATAGCACCCGAGTCCCAGGAGAATGCCATAAAGCAATCGCATCTCCTTAGAATAACAAACTAGACTCAAGGTTTTGAGATGCATGTAAGTGATAAGGCAGATGACACCACGGGCTGCTCCCCGAAAATGCCCGCGAGAGAGGGGAGGGCACCCTGTCCTTCAACCGGGTACCTCTCTCCTGCCCACAGCGGAGGTTTCAGTGAACT